CTCCCAAAGGAAATCCCAGAAGGATCTGGATGCTGGAGAAAGGAGCCAAAGGAGGATGTGGAGAACACCCCAAAAAACCAGCTCCAACCCTCCAGTACCCAAAGGAAATCCCAGCAGGGTCTGGATACTGGAGAAAGGAGTTTATGGGCAACACCCCAAAAACCAGCCCCAACCCTCCAGCATCCAAAGGAAATCCCAGCAGGATCTGGATGCTGGAGAAATGAGACAAAGGCCGAGGCGGAAACTCCCCCCCTCTGGAAAACCATCTCGGATCCCTCATCTCCCAGAGGAAATCCCAGCAGGATTGAGGGGTCGGAGGAGGGCTTTGGGCAGGACCTGTCGAAGGGCAGGGAGCTGCCCAGGAGGCTGGAGACCACGAGGCTGGAATGCTGGGCCGCCAGGATGTACACGGTCTGCTGGGCCGCCTTCCGAAGGTGCTCCTCGTCCACCTCCTCCAGCTTCCCGTGGATGATGCTCACGATGTCCGGGATCTGGGAGAGGGGAAGGAATGTGTGGTGGCCTGAAGGGGCTCCAGGAGAGCTGGAGAGGGATTTGGGATGAGGGATGGAGGGACAGGACACAGGGAATGGTTTCCCAGGGTTAGGTGGGATAGTGGGAAGGAATTACTGGCTGGGAGGGTGGGGAGGGTCTGGGATGGAATTCCCAGAGAAGCTGTGGCTGCCCCATCCCTGGAAGCATCCCAGGCCAGGTTGGATCCCCCTGAGATGGTGGGAGGTGTCCCTGCCCGTGGCACAGGGTGGGAATGGGTGATCCTTAAAATTCCTTCCCACTCGAATCGTTCCAGTGGAACCAGGTTGGGAAAACTGGGAATGTCCAACCTGGAGAAGGGAAGGATCCAGGGAGAGCTTGGAGCCCCTTCCAGGGCCTAAAGGGGCTCCAGGAGAGCTGGAGAGGGATTTGGGATGAGGGATGGAGGGACAGCACACAGGGAATGGCTTCCCAGGGTTAGATGGGATATTGGGAAGGAATTCCTGTCTGGGAGGGTGGGGAGGGGCTGGGCTGGAATTCCCAGAGGAGCTGTGGCTGCCCCATCCCTGGAAGCATCCCAGACCAGGCTGGATCCCCCTGGGATGGTGGGAGGTGTCCCTGCCCATGGCAGGGGGTGGGAATGGATTTTCCCAATATCCCAAATAAACCTGGGCCTGGGAGCAGCAGAGGAGCCGGAGCTGAACGTGAGGAGACCCCTCAGCTCTCCCTCCGAGCCGCAAAAGGCGCGTTAAGGCCAAGAGGAAGTTCGGGGAGGGGGGGAGGAGCTGGCGGCAAATTCCCGGGATTAGGCCGGGATCTGGAGAACCCTCCGGCCCCCGGGGCTGAGCTCAGCTCGGCCCCAGAGCGGCTCCCAGGCTTAGCAACAGGTCGGGTTTCAGGATCTGGGGCCGACCCAAAGGTGAGTCACACGGCAGCTGGAGCGTTCCCGGGTCGGATCCCGGGAATGAGGTAACGAGCAGCGGGAGCTCCAGTGCCCGCAAATCCCGGGAAAAAGCGGGAAGGGGGGAACCCGGTGTTTCCAATTATTGAGGGAAGGGAGGGAGAGAGGGGGGAGCTCGGCCCCCAAGGTGGGGATTAGATTAAAAAGCCTCCTGTGTCCAGCACCTCTGAGCCCTCTCCCCCCAGAACATTCCAGCCGGTTTTCCAGCCAGGAACAACGGGCTGATCCGAAGGTTTCACGGGAGTGAGAGCCCTCCTGGTAACGCTGAACTCCTCAGCTCCAGTCGGAGCCAGCGGGAGGATGGAGGAGGGAGGGGAACGTCAGGAACACCAACAGGAGGAGGGAGGAGAGAGGGGAATGTCAGGAATATCCATGGGAGGATGGAGGAGAGAGGGGAATGTCAGGAACACCAACGGGAAGAATGAGGAAGGAAGGGAATGTCAGGAACATCCATGGGAGGATGGAGGAGGGAGGGGAATGTCAGGAACACCAACGGGAAGAATGAGGAGGGAAGGGAATGTCAGGAACAGGAATGGGAGGAATGAAGAAGGAGGGGAATGTCAGGAACACCAGTGGGAGGGTGGAAGAGGGAAGGGAATGTCAGGAACATCCATAGGAAGGTGGAGGAGGGAGGGGAACATCAGGAACATCCATAGGAAGGTGGAGGAGGGAGGGGAACGTCAGGAACACCATCAGGAGGAATGAGGAAGGAGGGGAATGTCAGGAACACCAACGGGAAGAATGAGGAGGGAGGGGAATGTCAGGAACAGCAATGGGAGGATGGAGGAGGGAGGGGAATGTCAGGAACATCCATGGGAGGAATGAGGAGGGAGGGGAATGTCAGGAACATCAACGGGAGGGTGGAGGAGGGAGGGGATTGTGAGTGGAGAACGAGGAAGGTCAGTAGGAAGGTCCCCAGAAAACTTTGGGACAGGTGTGTTCCTTTGGGAAAAAACGTGGTGGGAATGGCAGGTGTGAGCCAGGGGATGGTGGGGACAGAGAGGGGACACGGAGATGCTCCCAGGGCTCTGGAGCCCCTCTGCTCTGGAGCCAGGCTGGGAGAGCTGGGAATGTTCACCTGGAGAAGGGGAAGGATCCAGGGAGAGCTTGGAGCCACTTCCAGGGCCTGAAGGGGCTCCAGGAGAGCTGGAGAGGGACTGGGGACAAGGGATGGAGGGACAGCACACAGGGAATGGCTTCCCGGGGTTAGATGGGATATTGGGAAGGAATTCCTGGCTGGGAGGGTGGGGAGGGGCTGGGATGGAATTCCCAGAGGAGCTGTGGCTGCCCCATCCCTGGAAGCATCCCAGACCATGTTGGATCCCCCTGGGATGGTGGGAGGTGTCCCTGCCCGTGGCAGGGGGTGGGAATGGATGACCCTCAAGCCCTTTCCATCCCAAACCATTCCAGGATCCCACGACAGGGGTCAACCCCCTTCCCTCTGGGCAACCCCTCAAGGACCTGCCCCTTCCCGGACCTTCCCTGCCCATCCCGGTGAATTATCCCAGTGGTGGGAATTATCCAGCCAGATCCATGGGAAGAAAGGGGGCAAGACCCCTCTGGAGATGCCTCTGGAAGCAGCTCCCGTGCTCAGCAGCTGGATTTATTTTTTACCTTCTCCTGCAGGACCCCTCCCCGTTCCTTGAGCAGGCAGTTGATGATGACGGTGGCGGCGCGGGAGCAATTCCTGTCGGGATCCCCCAGCCCCTCAAACAGGGACAGCAGCAGGTTCATGAGCTGATCCGGAGGGATCCGCTTCCCAATCACCTGTGGGAGGGCGAGAAGTGGGAATTCTGTCACCTGGGTGACACCAGGGACCACCCAACTTCCC